AGTAGGCTAGATCACCAAGATTGCATCAAAGATCATCCATGGAAGTAGCGGTGCACTACCTACTAGTGTGTGAGTGAAAAACAAGAGTTTGAGTAGGCTAGATCACCAAGATTGAATCAAACATCATTCATAGAAGTAGCGGTGCACTACCTATTAATGTGTGAGTGAAACACAAGAGTTTGAGTAGGCTAGATCACCAAGATTGCATCAAAGATCATCCATGGAAGAATCGGAGCATACCTACTAGTGTGTGAATGAAAAACAAGAGTTGCACTAGGCTATCTCTCAAGATTTGAGCAAGAGATCATCCATGGAAGAATCGGAGGATGTCCTACTAGCATGTGAGTGAAGAACAAGAGTTTGAGTAGCCCAAATCACAAGTAACAAACATGAGATCATTCGTAGAAGAATCGGAGCACTACCTACTAGTGTGTGAGTGAAAAACAAGAGTTTGAGTAGCCCAAATCACAAGTAACCAACATGAGATCATCCATAGAAGAATCGGAGCACTACCTACGAGTGTGTGAATGAAATACAAGAGTTTGAGTATCCCAATAATAAGAAGAAGATGAAGAAGAAGAAGGAGAAGAAGAAAAAGATGAAGAATAAGGAGAACGGGAGGAAGAAGAAGGAGGAGGATAAGGAGGAGAAGAAGAAGAAGAAGGAAAAAAAGAAGAAGAAGAAGAAGAAGGTGAAGAAGAAGATGAAGAAGAAGATGCATCCTCTTCCTTTCACTCACCCTGTTAATGTTTTGGGGATGGAGTCGCTTCTCCTTGCACAATTCCTCCTTGGCTATGGCTCCCTCCTTCTTGAAGCCTCTCTCCTTCCTTTCTCACCTCTACTCAAGTTACCCCAAGCTCCAACCACCATAGTTATGGAGTCCTCCCCTCTAGGAGGGCTAATAAGACTCCCTCTAGCCTCTCTTTCTTCCTCACACCCAGGGGGCTATTGCGGATCACCTCCCTTGGGCCAACTTCCCTATCACTAGTCTCTAGAGCTCCTCTCCTTACCTCATGGCCTCGACCAAGCTCCTAAACTGACATGGGTTCCCCTCTTCTCTCTCCAAGTGAAAGAGTGTTTCTATGAGCTCACTTGGGCAGCATGGGCACTCCTCATGCAATTGTGAATGTGGCGGACTGAATTTCCAGCTTATGTAGGCTGAAACCAGCAGTCCGGCCAGCCCATGAGCCTCCCCATGTGCCTTGAGGTGAACCGAGGTACCCCCAAGGCCAAATTCTACTACTAGGCCCTTCCGGAGGTACCCGGGCCTCTTTTTGGCCAAGTACATGTAGTCCGAGTTGTTGGTACCAACTCGGAATGCCTCTTGGCCTACTCCGGCCTCCTTTTCACCTCACAAATGTTGCCCCCTTGGGTCCCAATGTTCAAGGGGCAACTTTACTTGAGAGAAAAAGGCCTAATGAACTTTTTTCTCGGTTTTTTCAGTTTGTACCCCATTTTTGGTAGGCCGAGATATTTTTCCATGTAGCGGCATATTTTCAGCCTTGGATTTGGTTGAGATCCAAGGCCACCAATAATCCGTGCCACCCCCTAGTAGCCCTTGCTTCAATTTTGAACCCCTAAGTCCACTTTTTCAATTTTTGGTGCATCTGGCTCTCTTTTTGGGCTAAATGCACAGTTTCGTGATTTTCCCTCTTTTGTTTCTTTCCATTTTGGGCTGCCACCTCATTCCGGAGCTAACCTTTTTGAGCTGGCCCACAAAAAACGGCTAGTTCCTTTCCACCATGAGATCTGATCTCAGATCCATGGTCCAAAACTAAACCGGTCATTTTTCTTTTACATTTTCTCTCATTTTCTTCCTTTTAATTCAAATTTTATTGATATATGGCCCTTGGGGCCATATCCCTGCAATCCGGATTGCCCTCCCTCATTCTAGGAGGGATGAGGTCACAGTTGGGACCTGCCAGTCCCTACTGTGCAGGTTCCAGTAGGCCGACACACTCTCCTCCACTCTTTTCTCCCTTTTTGTCTCATTCTCCCTAATTTTTCTCTCATTTTTCTTTCTTTTTCTTTTATTTCAGTTGTGACAAGTGTCAAACTGTTGTGCACCCTCTTTCTAGGCCTTAGGGTCTTATTCAAGACCAGGTTCATGGCTGTTACTTGACCGTTATATCTCGGATTCCAACAATGTCACCCCCATGCTCCAAGAGGGCTTTGTTTTATCTCCGTTTGTCCAATTTTGAGCCCCATTTGCTCCGATTTTTTAAGGACAACCTTTTTCTCATGTTGAGCCTCTTGAGGCTTTATTTTCTCATGCCTAGCTAGTCCGAGATATCTCGGACTACTAGGCAGCCCTCCCAACATCATTATTTTGCTTTATTTTCTCCCCATGGCTCTCCCACTTGCCCCCACTAGTGCTTGCACTAGTGGTGCTGATATTTTCCATCGTCTAGATCCTCGATCTCGACGGTGCCGTTTGCTTGCACAAATATTCCTTGTGCTTGCTCATGGTTCCCTTGGGTCATCCCAAGTCCCCGCCACTCTCCTCCACACTAGTTTCATTTTCTTGTCTCACCGACGGTCCCGTTTTTCGATTTTTATTATTTGGACCCACTTGGTCCCCGACAACATTCCGGACGATGTCCCATTTTTATTTTTGGGGCCCCTTTGCCCTTGGTGGTCCCATCATCTCTACATGTGTGCTGATTTTTCTAGGCCGTGAGATCTCATTTCACGGTTGCCGTTTACCGTGTCCACTTGCCTTATGCCGAAATTGCGTTTTTTCTAGCCTTTCGAGCTTGCCGTGACTCATTTTCCTTTAGCCTAGGCACCCCCATGCAGTCCGTTATTTCTCGGACTGCAGTCATGGCCATCTTTCTAGTCCTACAGCCCCACAATTTGCCCCATGCTAAAAGAGAATGAAGCGTTAAATTTCTAAGTGCATCCGGGCTCAATATTGGCTCCGGGTGCACCTAGAACATGTATTTTCCCTCCCCCATGCAGTCCGTTGCAACTCAGACTGCAATACGGGTCGATTTCCTAGCCCCAATGCCCCACAACTAACCCCTACTCAAAAGAAAAAGAAACGGTCAATTCCCAAGTGCATTCGAACTTGATTTTGACTCCGGATGCACCTAAAACATGTGTTTCTCCTCATGCATGTAATCCATTTTATTTCAGTTGCATGGGGCCTTGATTTTCTTTGCAAAAATCAAAGAAAATCAAAGTCCTTTGTAACCTCCATATTCCAGAATGAATCTGGTCATGGATGAATCTCCCCAAGTGGCCATTTGTGACCGTTAAGACCTTTTTCTCTTTTCTTTTCTTTTCTCTTTTCTTTTCTTTTCTTTTCTTTTTCGTCCTTTCTTGGACAGTAGGGACCTGCCAGTCCCTACTTGTGGCAGTCCCTACTGACGGCCAACTCACTCACTCCCTCTCACTCTTTTTGTCTTATTCTCTCACATTTTTTTGTCTTTTCTCTTTTTTTTTTCTAGCATGTCAAGTGGCAAGTGGCCGTTAAGGCCCTTTTCTAGCCCCTTCCTCTTAGTTTTGGCCCTTCCTATGCCCAAGGTGCAGTCCGTTATATCTCGGACTGCAATAATGGCTTTCTCATGCCCATAGGAGCTTCCTCTCACTCCTATCTTTCTCCCATAATGGCCCTTCCTACTCCGATTTTCACCCGGAGGCCTATTTTTCACACGGGGTCTCATTTGACTTCATTTTCTTGAGGGAGGCTAATCCGAGATTTTTTGGATGGCTCCCATGCCTCCCACTTCAGTTTTCTTTACTTTTTATTTTCCTTTTGACCTTCCCGTTTGCTACCACTAGTGCTTGCACTAGTGGTGCTAATATTCTTGGTCGTCAAGATGTCGATCTTGACGGTGCACCTTGCCCTTATTATTTTCCCTCATGCGATGCCGCCGTTTCTTCTTGGGACTTTCACATGTCCCGGCCACTTGTCCCGTCGGTGGTACCCAGTACTTAGTCCCGCCGGTGGTCCTCGACACTTAGTGCCGCCGGTGGTCCCCGACACGTAGTCCCGCCGGCGGTCCCCGACACTTAGTCTCGCGGGTGGTCCCCGACACATTTTGCCCCGGATGCCATTATTTTTACTTAGTCCCACGTGGCCCCGGGTGCCTTTCCCCGAGGTGTCCCACGTCCCTTGGGCGTTTTGCCGCCCCATGGAGACCCCTCTCCCTTGTCTTTTCTTGCACCTTGTGCGCGCTGATTTCTTTGGTCGCGGGCCTCCGCTCCGAGGCTCCCGTAGGTGGCCCCCACGTTGGCCCCTCATTCTCTAGCTTCCCACTGCCCCGAGGTCATCCATCTCTCGACTTCCTCATTCTTTGATCGTTGTCGTGCTGCATATGCTGGTTCAAGGGACCTTTGGGCTTAGTCTTATTGCATTTCAACGACCCTCCCGGCCTCATGCTATGTCCTATATGCCCCTGTTCTTGCGCTTATTCTCGTGTCGTTGCTGGTTTTCTCCTCCTGTGGTTTTCACTCCATGACATCGCTCCCTCTTGTGGCCTAATCCTTCGTCTTTTCTCTCTCCTGCCTCCTCACTCTAGATTTCTCTGTTGTGCACAGTTCGTCCATATTCAGTCTCTTGAGTGATGGGAAGTTATTCGGGACCCACCAGTCCCGACAACGGACGCTGGGTCGACTTCCTTGAGAGGTAGGCGCAGTCGTACATTTGGATCTACTCTTCATGTCGATTGGGGAGAACGGGTGTAATTACATCTTCGATGCACGAGATAACCTTACTGGGTTTGTGGACGGGCGAGCTATTTTCGCACGAAGACCGGCCCAGTTTTGGCCAGCTGTATCGAAGAGTATTACCTGTGCTACCCTTTCGTCAAAGAGTTCGTGATGGATCGAGGATCAGAGTTCACATGTAACGAGGTGCAGACTTTGCTTGCGGGATATGACGTAGTGGCAAACTATACTACCGCTGCGCACCCTCAAGCAAATGCACCTGTGGAGAGAGGGCATAGTACCATCACGAATCTCCTAGCCAAGTGGACGGAAGGCAAACCCGGCCAATGGCCAAAGTTTCTGCGAGCAACCTTCTTCGTGGAGAACGTCACGGTAAAGAGGACTACCAAGTACGCGCCTACCACTCTTTGGTCTGGGAGGCATGCCACCTTCCCCATCGAGAGCTTCCTGAAGACTTGGAGGCGCCAGGACTTGGAGACGAACCTGTCGTTTGAAGAGTTGCTCGATACTCGACCGCGACAGGTGGGCGCGGATGAGGAAAGGATACGTGAAGCCTCCAAGCATGTCGAGAGGAGTCGAATGGAGGATAAGATGCGGTGGGATCAGATGGCACGAGTGCGGAAAGAGCCTTTGGCAGTCGGAGACATCGTATTACTATACGACTCTTCCTTGGAGAAGCAGTGGTCGAGGAAGCTCGACAAAAGGTGGTTGGGACCCTACAGAATTGTGCGGTGTGGCGAGTTTGGGGCTTATCAGATCGAGGAGCTGAGTGAAACGGAATGGAAAGATTGGGTATCCGAGACAAGACTAAAGAAGTTTGTGGCCAGGGAATAGGTAAAGCCACAATCCCTTTCTAAGTAAGCCCTCGTTCTGAGTATCGCAAATTATGGCTAGGCTGGATAGAAGGAGGGAAGGGCTTGGTGTGTCTGAGATTGGGTGTGTGTTTGCTCTAAGGTTGTGGAGCTTGTATGCTGATCCTGTTGTGTGCCTGTTTGTTTCTCTCCGCCTGATGTGCAGGTCTGACTTCTTGAAGACAGCCATGCAGAGGGGCGGGAGGGACACACGGCCACGACAGAGACCTCTCGGGCCATCCGGAGGGGGAGAGCGGCATGGGGCCTTCAGGAGAGAGCCTACACCCGTACTTGATGATGACAACATCGAGCTCTTCCTAGACGTCTACCGAGATCATGCGACCCAGAGAGGATGGGACGTATCTGAGAGGGTACGACATTTGAGAGGGATTGAGAGGTTTGAGGAGCCTATCGCACAAATCAGGGAGGAGGCGTTGACCTGGCCAAAGGTAGAGGCGAGGATGCAGAGGTTGAGGGCTTCGCCTGTGGGGCGTGATGGGTTACCTATTCGCTTGGAGGAAGGGAATGCGGAAGAATTCATCCCGGCATATGAGCGGTATATGAGTGATCTGGGGGTTCCGAGGGAAAAGTGGATGCAGACTCTACTCATTTGGACCAGAGGGGCGGAGCGACCACTGGCGAGACAGATTCGGGATCGGGCATGTGACTGGGAGGATTGCCAGACTCAACTAAGGGCGGCGTTTCGGCGGCCAGAGCTAGGCAGGCCATAGCCCAGGGTCGATAGGAGGCGACGAAGCAAGAGGCTTAAGAGATTTGGAGCCGAGAGGGTCGATTGCGACCAGGGGAGGCCGGAAGGCTTTGGCACAGCGAGAAGGGGGGCGAGCAGGACTTACTTGGGCGGCAGAGTCCTTCCCTGCTTGTGGACTTAGGCAGGTGGAGTTCCGTCAGGTTACTGGGAGTGAGCTACGGGGACTTTCGCCACGATTATCAGAGCAGGAGGAGGGTGAATTGTCAGCAGCACCGTGCCGGAGTCTGGAGGCCCATCTTGATGCTTCCCAGTGGGAGGCCCCTTCAGTGGGAATCGGCCCAACGGATCCATCGGGAAAGGAGACGGCACGCCCTAGTCCGGAGGCTGAGCCGCATGGCCAGAAGGAGTTGCACGTTGGAGAGGTTATTATGATTGAGGATGACACTACCCCCTGCACCCCAGTTCCAGCCCAGATGCGGCAGTCTTGGCCAGAGGGAGTCCCGGAGCCAGATAGCTAGGAGATTCCAGCGCCCCCGCCAAAAGCCACTATGTCACCCAGACAGGAGGTCGAGGCGCGGGAACCGGAATGGGGATGGAGGACTGAGCCCCGCATGGTCATTGATTTGCGCTTAGCTGCGCATGCATCCGAGCACCCCGATATGGAGGTGTCTATTCCGGTTGGGCCATCGTCTGGGTCACCGCATGCCGCGCCTCAGAGGGGTGCGCAAGCCCCAGCCGAGGAAGTCCGCGAAGTAAGGACGGGGAAGGTGCCAGATGAGACCGCAGAGGCAAAGTCTGCCAGGATGCAGGCGTCCTCGTAGAGATACATGAGCAAAGAGACAGGATGGAAGCTGCAGGGATAGCGTCGATGCTACCAGCTGACCTTAAGACGAGCGAGCAGAGGATTGACGAGCTGTGGGCCAGATATGAGTATCGAAGGGAGGCAGCCCGCCAGAGGGCACAAGAGGTAGGGCAGGCAAATGATAGGGCAGATGAGGCGATAGAGATCGGGGAGCTGGGATTTTTTGCCACCAGAAGGGCCATCGAACGGGTGGACAGAAGGATACGGCAAGCAACCACCACGTCCTTTCAGAGGTATACTCTGCTCAAGGATGAGTAGGCAATCAGGACAGGAGAGGTGGAACAACTGACCGCTCAGCTTGCAGAAGAAAGAGCCGAGAACAAGGCCTGGTGGACTCGCCTGGAAGCGAAGGAAGTTGAGTGGGAGAAGAAGCTCAAGGAGATGTCAGCTGCAGTGGAAGGACTTTAAGCCACTAAGGTGGTCGATTGGACTGAACAGAGCAGGTATGGCATTCAGGGCGAAGGGATGCAGGGACTGTTTGGCCAGGGGGAGGCAGCAGAAACATCTCAGCAAGGGGGAGTAGGGAAGGTGTAGAGGCGAGGAGAGAGGCTAACAAAGGAAGCTTTGAGTTCAAGGCTCCCACTGAGTTAGCCTCGCAGCAAGAGGCCCCTGCTTCAGCAAGCGCCCCTATGGAGGCGCCAACCCAGGAGCCCCAGCCTGCACCGGCAGAGGAAGAAGCGGCAGAAGAGTCGCTAACGATCCTTTTGGAAGTACAGGAAGGGACCCTTACTGCAGCAGTGGTACCCCCTCAGCCTGAGGCATAAGGGAAGAAGTCATCGCGCCTGGATGAGTTGGTAGCCACCTTGGAAGTAGGTATGCCACCCGAGAGACCTCAAAGGCGGAAAGGACTGAGGGGTCATGGCGCCTGCCTCAGAGTCACGAGGTGGACAGGGAGACAGAAGAGACACTCCCGTCGTCAGGAGTCCAGAAAAGGAAGAAGAGGTTTCAGAGGAAATCGAAGGCCATGTGCTTCTGCTTTCTGGATGGCATGCATAGGGCCCTAGAGTGTCCTAAGTTCCTCAAGGACAGGGCTGCAGGACGGGTCATTGAGCGAGATGACAAAATGTACGATAGGCAGGGTCGAGTGGTGGAGAAAGCTCCAGATGGGGGTAGAGCTCAGTTGTATAGGCAAAACCAGGAGGAGATGAGTGAGTAGGGGCTGGGTTGCCTGTACGTCAGTAGGAGTGAGATGTTTTGTACATAGAAAGAGTAGGTTAGAGATATAGAATGGCATGAGTCAGATACATGTGTTCTGGTTTTCTGCACGCAAATAGGAAATAATGTACAGTAGAGTTTTGGGGACTTTTCCTTGTCATGACTTGAGAGGTGAGGCTCAACTGTGTGATACTCGGGATATTTGGTTTACATTTTCGTTTTTATATTCAGATTCCAATGTGTTTTAAGAGTTAAAACAATTGAGACATGAGTCTGCCGGAGATGAGGGGGGCCAGAGTGTTCTGTCTCCCTGTCCACCTCGTGACTCTGAGGCAGGCGCCATGACCCCTCAGTCCTTTCCAGAAGTCCCTGAGCACTCGACTCCCCTTGCTGCCCGCTCCCCTCGGGCCTGTACTCGGGGGTATCCAACCTCAGTGGCCTGCCCTCGTGGGTCATTTCTGTCACAGCCACTTCCTCACTCTCGCGAGGCTCTGAAATCTGGGGAGTAGCTGCCCTTGCAGGCTGGCTCATGGCCTCCTACTGCTGTCGCTCAATGGCCTGCCCTCCTGAGTCAGTCCCAGTGGCCCAGGAGCCCAACTGTGTCCTCAACTCCTTGAGAGAGATTTTATTCCTGAGTATATACTGAGTTGAGATTTTGAGACCATTGTCCTTATGTATGACGATCACTCTCACTCTCAAATGTGTGGTTTTTCCTGATGTATGATGGTTTGTGTGAGGCATGTGTAACAAACATCTCAAATGCTCATATTTTGTGATTATGGATGAGTGTGAACTGTCTACTCTTCGGTATACTCGTGCGATCTGGCCATGGGCGGATGATAGGGCCGAGTATAAGGAGGGGAAGTGCAGTTTGTTGTGTAAAAGGACTGTGAGGATCCTAAAGGGTCTATGAGTCTTTGAGACTCGAATGCTTATCATGCCAAATGTTTATTGTCTGAGTTGTGTTGAAGGCCCATAAGTCGGCCTCGTAGTTTGTGCTGTTTCATGGTTGAGGTGCCTTTTGAATAAAAAGGTAATCTTATGTTTTATTTGGGAGACTCAGCTTCAAGAAAGGAAGATGTTTTACAAAGGTCATGTGAGAATTCATCCTAGAGAGAGAGGGATGGTTGGGAGACCTATCGAGTGAGGCCCCCTTGCATAAAAGGTGGTTAATAGATTTAATAACATGAAAAGCTGGGTTCGGAAAGGTAAAAGACTGACGAGAGGGACCATGATTTATTGGCCATTCGGTGGGATTTTCAGGAATGTCGCAAAATGGTTTGATTTTGAGAGATGTCATTAAGATGTGTGACCCTCTTACCCTAATGAAGTTGGGAGGTCACGACCTTGTGAGTCTGGCGGTGATTCTGTTTTCTGAATGTGGAGAGGTTGCCATGTCTCCACTATGCTGTCCCACAGAGGGCTGGTAAATACCTTTTATGTGTGACAGGTCTATGCGTAGTACCGCAAATGACCTGTATTATTGCGACACACCGTCCAACCACCTGTGCTAATCTTAAGGCATATAAGGAAGACCAAGTTAAGCGGTAAAGTTTTAACACCACTAGGACATAACCCCTAGGGATGGCTGCTGGCCGACACAACTTGGTCGTAGGCCCACGTCTGACCAAGGGAGTAAAGGGTATGGCTGCCTAGGAGGGTTTTACTCCTCCGGAACGGCGTGGGATAGGAGTCGAGTCATGTGAGTCTTTTTTTTGGAAGTCCTGATTGAATGATATCAGGAGAAAACCTATCGTGGCGCAACCTACGAGGGCACTGCCGCTAAATAACAATGCGGTAGGCCGTAGATCTGGCTCGATCAACCAGACTATGGTGCGCCAAGATGGAGACCTAGCACTTCTGTACTAGACCGCAGAAAGGGTTGAGATGAGGTTTAAAGACCCATATAAATACAGTTTGATTGTGGGGATTTTTTTTGAGAGGGAGGCTAGAGTGCCTTCAAAAGGTCTCGGTTAGGGCCCTCGTCCCTGGTTATGACCGTGCTTACAGGGTGAAGGCCAGGGACACCCAACGAGAGGCCGGCGTCTGTCTAAGATAAAGGGGAGAGAACGGTTATAAGGGCCTTTGGAACTTATGCTGTAGTACTGATGTGTGGTACACCGGCGTCCTAGTGTCAAGGCAATGGAGACCCAGGTTGAAACCCTGGCAGCATATAGTTGTGTGGGCACAGACTGATGGAGGCCTCAAACCTGAGTCTGCCGGCTAATCGGATTGGTTCCTCCTCGTCAGCATTTTGGTGGGTGGACGGATTTATAGTTTTTTTATCTTGCAAAGCGACGGGGACGTCGCTTAATATAGTCCGGTAAGTCGTCGGCACGAATACCCTTACAAGGGTATCCGCCCTGGTTTTTGCAAGTGACAGAAGGGCTGTTGGTTCAGACCTTTCGAGTGTTCGCGCAGGTCAGGAGGGTTGCCTGCGTGTGGGCCGAAGTGATCCGAGTAGATAGGGCGAGTGGGCGCGCAATTTTAAGGCGCTCGTGTGATTTTATCCTTTTAACCGTATTACCAGCATAGATGTCCGCTTTGATCTTGTTTCGTTGATTAGACTAAGGATTGATAGACTCGCCCTCGTTTGTCGTGCCCAGCCGGCGGCAAGTTTGGTGTGTGGGACGGCCATGATACAGTTGGGGAGGCTGACATGGATACCTAGCGGCTGCACGCCTGGTTATAGGTGGAGGTGAGGCCCCAGGCTTTCCTCTCATTCTTAAGCACTAGGTCGCACCACTTTATCTGAGGTTTCGCGCCTGCTGGTCTCAGGCTTGGGCTTAGCCCTCTAGGTTACGGCATTTGGCTTGTGACAGGGAGGTGTGGGGTTCGAGGCCGGCAAGCGGCAGCGTGGGAGCGGTGGAGCGTAGAAGGAACTAAGGGGTAGAGGGTCTTGTGGGACTATCGCCCTTAGTTTTTGTTGGGGGAGCCCGATTGCGGCCCCTCGATGCAGGACCGGGGAGGCACCAGTAGGTCCCGCGCCCTGTTTCCACTAAAGCTGCCCCGTCTTGTCTTTGGGATTTGTTTCAACCCCTGCTAATTTTTTTTATTTTTTTTTATTTGTTTTACCTTTTCCGCCAGGTATAGACCACTGGCTACTACCATAGAACGTCCCAGGGGCGTGGGAGCCCAGACTTATAGTAAGTCTGGAGTAGTTTGAGCTGCCTAGGGCCGTTCAGATTCCGAGAGACCGGGGGAGTGTTGTCCCGGTAGAGGTCCCTCGGGACGTCTGTTAAAATTGGAACGATACAGAGAAGATTAACATGGTCCCTGTGCGTAAATCAGGGAAAAGCCTAGGCGTTTTGGGCTTTTTCCTTCTTCGGGTTTCGTTTCGATAGAATCGCGTCGCTGCGGGGTAACCGTGCTACCGAACGTTGAGAGAGCGGGCGCTAGGGGATGAAGCTAGCAAAACGAAGTGCGGAGAGCGGAATACCGGTGACGACAACGTCAACCGAGGGTCGAAGGAGGCAAAGTGAACAGAGGCGCGAACTCGTGCTAGGTGCGTACGGGGTAAGGATAGGGAATAGCGGTAGGGAGGAACTTAGGCGGAAAGAAGAAGTTGGGAGTGAGCGTGACCAGGGCGGGAGACGGTGTGCGACCGTGCGCAGCGGGAAAAAGATTGTGCCTAGGCGCCGACAGGAAACGACAGGGAGCGAAGAAAGAGGGGGACTGAATCTGGGTAAGCGGTACGGCAGGTGCACATAAGGGCGGAGATGAAGATAGAGATGCCGGGGAGCGAAACGGGAGGAAAGTGGGAGAACACATACCTGGTCTCCTCTACAGAGGAGATTCAATCTTGGCCTGCAAATTCGGGGAGCCCGGCGTAAGTACGAGCCGAGCAGCGACGAAGGAGCGGGTGTGCCCGCCCATATTCCAGCGGAAGATTCATTCCGATTTGCTTATCCTTCCGGTGGAAAACTCTCTCTCTGTCTCTCGCCCTCATGCGTACGCATGTAGTAGTGCACGCTCCCACGATCCGGTAGTAGATTCACTAGTCTTGTTTGCTTTGGAGGTGAGAGCAGCGTGAGGTTAGTTAGGGGGCTTGATACTTACCTGGCTCGGGGCGATGGGGGTGAGTGCATCGCCCACCCACTCATGAGTTGTTGTGAGAGGGTTGGAAGAGAGCCCACCTAAAGCAACCCGACAGATGGTGAACAGCGTTGAGCGGGGCAAAAGAGACTAAGTCGCCCGCAAAAAGGTCGGAACGGCTGTAAGCTGCTATAGGGAGCGTGGGTGCAAGGGCACCCGAATAAGAAAGAGAGAAAACCGGGGGATTCGGGGAAAGCAAGACCAAGAGGGTGGATCGAGAAAAGGGTGAAGAAGGCCACATGCTGGATATTTACCTATTTAACCGGTGAGCCGCTCGTTCCAGCGATCGAGGGCAACAGGGGAACGAGTCACAGGGGCCGGACAACCTACCTGCTGTCGGAATACTGCCTGTTTTGCTGTACGAAGTAACGGGATTGCAGCTGCCTCCTTCAGGAAGGCTGTTGTTGGCTGTTGCAGGCTGTCGCGCTGGTTCTCAGTACGGCAACTGCTTGGAGCGGTAGGACTGCAACTTCATGTTGGGAAGTGACAGTGTAGCATGAGGGAAGTGCTCTTGGGACCACAGGGTAAGGTGGTTGCAACAGTCTAGGGGTGGGAGTGCTGCGAGAAAGGCTATTACCAGCGTTGTGTGTTCGAGGAGCCGCGCCGCACTGTGCAGTCTGGTTGCGATATCCGGTGTGGCTCTGCTGCTGGCCGAGCCGTTGGGTGCTCCAATTGTGTTTTTGTTTGCAACGGCGGTTGTATCTGTTACTGATTGCTGGGATTACTGAAGCAGCACTCTGCTGTCGAAGCACGCTGTGTCCTGCTGCAAAAGTGGTTGGCTGTGTCCTGCTGCAAAAGTGGTTGGGGTGTGCGCGGCCTTGTTATACCAGTCCTCTGCGCACTCTGGGTTTTCTGTGAGTGCTCAACGGTGTGTTGGGCGGCTGTTCAGATAAGGTATGGGGGAGGGTCGGTGAGACTGCAAGGGAGGCTGCTGCGTACTGCTGCTGGTCCCCATTGATTACTACAGGTTGCTTTAGGCTACCGTGTAGCTGCGATTGGGCTAGGAAGGAAGCTGCAGCGACAGTTCAGGGGAGGCGACTGGACTGATAGGAAGGTTGCTGCCGCAACTTGGAGGAGTGGTGGCGACAGGGGGCTACTGGTGCAATTAAGAGTTCGTCAGGAGGATTGAATTCGGCAATTGGACTTTGGGGGGCCAAACTGATACACTTGGCCATCATTACGGGGCCCTCAGGCGCTGAAGATATCAAGTCTCTTTCCTGCGAGTCTGAGTGCACCCCTCTTGTATCTGAGAGACTTAATGTTCCTTCTTCTGCCCTCCTTACTCTAAGTCTAGTCTGTTGGTTCTGAGAGGAAGGCGGCAGGCGGGATTGCAACCCGTAGGTCCGCATCAAGGCTCTGTGGGCAGTCAACCCACCGATTGTGGGAGCTCTGCCGGAACTTAGGAGGAGTTCTGGAGGCAGGGAATTCAGAGGTAATCTTTGTTTTCCCTTATAAACGAGTTATAACCCCTATCTATACACCTCCCTATGTATTGATTGAATGTATTGCATGCACCCCTACTTTGAGTTTTGGGTTGACCTTCATGATATAAATCAGACTAAGTAAAGGAATGTATGTACAGTTTCAATTCTTTGTTTGTCTGAAAGCAGATTGTCACACGGGGTTGCATTCAGGGGGAGGTTGGGAGGAAGACAGTTTTGCTTGTGTCTGGATGGGTCTTATAGGGTCGGGCATAGTTTCTAAGATGAATGGCCTGACTGCTGTGTTTTGTTCTGTTTTCTGAAGGTCCAAACATTGTTTCTAAGACGAATGGCTTGGTCGCTATGTTTATTTAATCGTGCCAAGCATTGTTTCTAAGATGAATGGCCTGGATGCTTACTTTCAGGAATATTGATTGCTTGAGTTTTGAGGACCATACATTGTTTCTAAGACGAATGGTCTGGTCGTTGTTTACTTTGGGTGGTTTCTGAACAGTCTCTGGGTGAGTACTCTGCTTTTTTGGTGCTGAAAAAATCGGGGTTGAGCATTGTTTCTAAGACGAATGACTCAACTCTCTTTGGTTGTTTCATTCTGAGGGAGGTTCGGGCCAAAGAACTAGACATTGTTTCTAAGACGAATGGTCTAAGTCTGAGGCAACAGGACTATAATGAGAACAAAGGAAGAGGATTCTATATAATTCTGTATATATATATATAAGAACAAGGCTAGCCAGACATTGTTTCTAAGACGAATGGTCTGACTATAGCCTTATCACAAACTAAGAGAGTATAATTAAGAGTTCTAACCGAAGGTAACTTGGGAAGGCTGAGCATTGTTTCTAAGACGAATGGCTCAGCCCTACGCTCACTTTCGAAAATTAAGTTCAGAAAATTATATATAACTTGGTTATTTAAACAGTTAAGGACGATCAAGCATTGTTTCTAAGACGAATGGCTTAGTCATATGCCCAATGAAGAGAAAAGTAGTCGTGCAACCTGTTCGTGTATAACTAAGGCAGAGATTTAACATTGTTTCTAAGACGAATGACCAATCTCAATGCCCTATGTAAGCAGGGTATAAGGGGTTAAATCATTAAAAGACTATGAACTATTGTTTGCTAAAGGTAAATGGGGTTGGTGAGAGTACTTACCCTTGTGGTTTGGCTTGCGTGTGGCTGCGTGAGACCACTACCTAGTCTGAGTTTCAGTTTGATAGGTAGTCGCTTTAGTGGCTCGCCACGTGCTAGAGTGATAGGAGTTAGATCCAATTCCTGCATTTTCTGTGATATTTTTTTTCACTTAGATCAATTTTGCATTTTCTAAGGTCATTTATTATACTTGGGTGTGTATAAATCTTGGTAAGTCACTTTTTTTACAGGAAGCGATGCCGAAATTTCTGCAAATCCAAGGAGTTAGTCAAATTTTGGTTTTTCAAAGCTCAAACTTGTCTGACTTTTTATACATGGCTTAATAAATATATGGGAAGTCTCTTTTCCTAAAGGGAGTGCTGCCCAAATTTTTACTAATTCAGGGAGTTAATCAAAATTTGACTTTGGACAGTCAAGAACTATTATTGGTTTCTTGTTTAGACTTATATAAATTATGGAAAGGCGGTTTTCCTACGGGAAGCGCTGTCGAAATTCTCTTAGTTTAGAGGAGTTAAATTATATTTTGACAGGTGACAGTTTTGGCAACCCACTCTGTTTAGAGGAGATCCTGCCAAAGGTCTACCCTTTCGTTGGGCACTGACTTAGAAGTAGACTTAGATCTAGTTAGTTAGCAGGAGCTAGGGTGAAATCACGATATGGAGACTATTCCCCATAGGACTTATAGGGTTAGTCTTGGGTATTGACCTGTTATGTGTTACAGGCCAGCTTGGTCGATCTGATTCAGGACTTGGACTAGATTCTGCCTGATCCCTTGAGGATCATCTTCTGTTATCACTGATAACAGGTCGGTTGCCGATTCGTCGGTTTACAACTCAATTCCAATCCACCCTCAATACTCAACCTAAAAGGCTTTAGCCCTCTGGTGATTTCTATTGTTTTGTTAAGGCTTCACGCGGACTCTTATTGAATGGCCATTTAACAAAGCTGCTGAGTATTTAATTCTGGTTGGTTGGACAGGAGGCTGGGGTTTCCATGGCTAAAGCGAGGGGTATGAGTGCAGGGAGTGGTTGGGGTTGACTCCGTGTAGTGTGTGGATCTTGTTTGATTCTTTGATGTGATTGCAGGTATGGTCTATGGTTCAGATTTCGGATTTGACTGCCTGCGATCACACATATACATATTGTTGTGAGGAGCCCCACTTTGATTGTGAGAAGTGATCGTCACATACTTATCCCCTCTTGTAAAGGGCCAGCGTATTAAGGGTTCAACAGGGGCTGAGGTTGGCAGAAAACCCCCCTCCTCTAGATTGTATGTTTTTTTTGAATTCTTAGTCGGACGTTGGTCCTGGGCCGGGGTTCAAGGTCCTTGTTCAGGACATCCCAAGCCCTAGACTCTGTAGAGAAGGGGCCTTCCCTCGCGCAGAGCCTATCCGCCCTGCCCGTCGAGACACCCAACCATGAGGGCAGAAATGTCGCGAGGGCTGAACGGCATCTCCTTCAGCCGTCCGATATCGTGAAGGGTAACCCTTCACGATATATTCCTTCAGCCATTCAATATCGCGAGGGCGAAACTGCGATTACCGCGTGTGAGTAGCATCGCCGGTTGATGTAGGAAAGGCTTGCAACTGCACAACTTTATATCAAAGTCTTGCGCGCAACGTTTCGCTGTCCTAGTGTCTAGAGTTATGGGATAAAGGGATTTGTACATACACATGAGTGTCCAGGATCCGTGTAGGCCGCTGGTGTCAAACGAAAAAGTTACCCGAGGTAGTGATTTTTGGGATAGGGAGGCCTTCTGCCTAGTTTTGCTTTTTAGAGTTATTATGGTTAGACGTTGTAGTTCGTGGCAGCCGTCAAAGTCAAACCGCTTGACTTCTTTCCAGGCCCTAGATGACGGAGCCGGTCTCCAGGGCGATAAGAGACGATTGCCACCACAAGTACGAACCTGTGTACCACCCACTCTCCGCAGGGTGCAGAAGAGGGTGTTGTTCTCAACCGCACTTGGCGGTTGTCCAGCGTCGAGAGATTAACCCTCAAGGCGCGTGTCAGCCGACACTTGAGTGTCGAATGCGACCCTCGAGATTAACGAGGACCGCATGAGTATGGGTACTACATAGTTCGCCATCATTGAGACCGCTTGCGTACACTTGCATTGCGAGTCGATATGAGTAGGCCCTGCATCCGTGC